AAAACAAAAAAAAAAAAAAACCACGTACTAAAGCATGTATTGGAAACATAATATTTCTGGAATATAAAAAGGAAAACGAGCTGAGAAAAGCATTAAATATTATGAAAGCGTTAAACCCAAAAGTAGAAAAACGTCTTTCTGGATAACAAATTGTATAAAGAAGGACAGCTCGTATTGAATGAATCAATGGTTAAGACCATTCACAAGCATTGCGCTCCATTCCCCCCTGTTTTTGCGAGTCTCATAACGGTCAGTGGGCTATTGATTTCGGCTTGACGAATGGCTCGTTGCACGCACTGACCTCATGATAATAGTGCAAATTTACCGGAGGTATGAAACTATTTGCAGAAACACGTTCTTCTGCACCGGTTCGATGGGCAAACAACAAAAAACAAGTTAAAACCAGCCTGTATATCGTCGTTGTCGCCAGCAATCTACGTAAGTCCAAAATCTGAGAATTTTCGATTTTTACACTTTTCCAAAGCTCTATTAAAGATGGACACGTGGGTGGTTGTCGGGTGCTCTGATGTGGTTTGCTTCTTCTTTCCTATCAAACACCTATCGTCCTTATCTCACCTCCTTCTTTTTTATGTTTGTTACTATCTTGTAACACCTCTAATCTTCTGGCGCTCATATGACCTTATGCAGTTGCGAGCGCCGTAAAACCTCTACTAAAACTAAAAACTAAAATATGGACACTTCAATATCACCGAATGCAATATAATTCTATGGTCAAGGCGTACACATTTTTCGCTTTCCACGATTCCTGTAGAGAACATAACATCAGAAACTTTTTTTTTTTGGACTCTGGTGTAAAGAGTATCCAAACGGGCTTAACCGTATCCGTACGTCGTGTTTTACTATCGTATTCATACGACGTGGGGAACTCTGTGCCACCACTTTCCAAAGAGGAATTTACTCGTTAATTCGATCCGTACACTTTCCTGAACAGTCTGTCAAAATGATTTTTTTGAGAAATACTGAAAGTTTCAAAGAGATCTTCCTACTAGAATTATTCTAAAATGTGAAGAATACAACCCTGGGGGTACAAAATAATCCCAGGGCGTGCGGAGAGGCGACGACCTACTCATGCGAAAAAAACACAAACACATTATATATGCTTCTGCTTCACTTATATTCCAAACTAGCATTATATATTAATGTTCCTAATTAGACTTTTGCGAGTTTGCAGAATGGCAATTCATTGAATGACCCTTGGACAAACGAATAGAATTAACTTGTAACAATATTTTTGGGGAAGGAGGACATTTGGTTTTTAAAAATTTAATGTAGAAAGGGGTCTGGTGTACTCTAAAGCAAAATTTTGAAGAATAAACAACGATTTTTACAGATGGCATTCATAAATACAATATGTAAACGTAAGCCCTAAGTGGTTTTACGTCCATCGACACAGATTCAACCGTTCACAAGACCCCGCCTGTTAGAGCTAAACCAGGTGGAAAACTTCGTGAAAAAGATATATATATATAACACGTTCTAGCAGAAAGACCTAGCTGCGAGAAACTCGAGGAAAACGGCAAAACTTCTCCCCATACGAAGGAAAGAAATTTGTAGAGGTTTTTTTTTTTTCTTCTTCATGTGACACAAGTCATGACGTCATTTTTTAACACATTGGGTACGGAAATCTGGGCCAGGATTGTATTAGTAGTATCGATGATAGTGGCATCAAGTATGCCCAAAGATAGTACATAACAAGATGGTCCACTCAGCCAAAAAAGTGTCCGCCGGAAGTCCGCTCTTTGCTTCAGATGGCGCTGCAGTCTGTTTTGAAGCTCTCTTTCATTTCTCCAGAAGAACAATAGGAATAACACCTCCTTGCGTGCGCAGATCGACTGCTGTTCATCAGGAAGAAAACAGTCGCCCTTTCCTCCGGAAGACGTTTTTTGTCAGAGTGACCATCTTTTAAAAAAAACGTTTTTCCGAAATATAAATTCTTATTTATTCACAAACGTGTTAGTTTCATTTTGGGTTTTTTTAACACAGGTAGGGTAACTCTGTTCGCAAAGGGTGCGCATTTGAGCAGAGAGCGCCACCGAATTTTGAGGACACTTGTTTAATTGGCTCAAAGAGACGAGTGGACCCTCTTGTTGTGTAGACTCTTTGGTATGCCTCACGCCAGTGATGACATGGGATGGATACATCACGTGATCATGTGTGTGTGTGTGTGTGTGTGTGTGTGTGTGTGTGTGTGTGTGTGTGTGTGCGCGCGTGTGTGTGTGTGTGTGTGTGTGTGTGTGTGTTTGTGTGTGTGCGTGCGTGTGAGCTAGCTACGCAGCGACAATGATAATTTGTTATGTTTGAGTATGCATTTTACGGCACTTGTAACACAGTTAGGTCATATTTGAAGTGCCAAAGAATAAAGGTGTTTCTAGAAAGTAACAAACATAAAATAGAAAAAGGAGGAGGGATTATGGCGATAGAGGCTTGATAGGAAAGAACGAGAAAACCACACCAGAGCACCTGTCAACCACCCACGACAAGTTTAAGAAACCATGAGCCACTGTAAGTGACGCAACAAACCTAGCTGAGCGGGTGGTTGGCTTGTGTTCTTGTGTTACTTTCTTCTTCTTTCCTACCAAACTTCAATCATCCTAACTTCTCTTTTTTGTGTTTGTTACTCTCTTTTAACCCCTTTACTCTTCGGCACTTATATGACCTATTGTGTTGCAAGTGCTGTAAAGTGCTTCATAATCATCATCTGATGCCTTGCCAACCGGCGTGGGCGATCATGGACCTCCACTTCCATCTGTCTTGCGTTGCAGCAATGGTGTCTGTTGTTCTTGCTGTTCCTAGCCATGTTGTCATGTTGTCCAGTACCTTTTCCCTCTGTCTGCCTCTGCCTCTCATTCCATCAAACTTGCCTGGTGTTACAATATTCTACAATGCTTGTTTCCGCATTGTGTGTCCAATGAAATTTGCCTGTCGCTTTCGTATATTCGTCATAAGCTGTCGTCTGTAATCTGCTTCAACCAAGACTTCTTCATTTGTTTTTCTAGTTGTCCACAGGACACGCAGCCTGCGTCTTATGAACCACAACTCTGTCACCTCAATAGTTCTTTCCAGCTGTCTATTGATTGTCCATGCTTCGCACCCGTATAATAGGATTGGCTCCATGTAACTTTGTAAAACGCTTACAAAAACTAACAACCTACCTGATTCTCCAGCTTAGTGGTGACGGGACCCTCATTGTACCAGAGCACGCCCACTACAACGCTGTGCAGAAAGCAGAGCAGCACTCCCACGGGCAGGCTAAGCCACGCCCCTAAGGGGAGGGCCCACTGTGTGAAGTAGATGAGAAGCAGCAACCAACCAATCCGATCGGGCGGCGTGTGGCGCGGGTAGGCGGTGCCCACATCGAAGTAAATTTGGAATGTCAGGATGAACCACATGAGAATTGCAAGGCTCTCTGTTGGAGAAAAGAAATAACAGTTGTTTATGAAGAACGTACCTTCTGTAATGACCAATAATAGATAGAGTCTAGCATTTGTATAGCGCAAATTCCAGTTCAACAGCAAGCTGTATACGCTTTACAATCGAAATTATTATCCCAGCAGACCTTAAAGCATTGTGGAACAATCTAAATTCCTTGTGGAGCATACAGTGCAAGTTGCCATTCTTTGACTCTAAAACACTAACATACTGACAAGATCTTTCGCTGTCATGTCTATATGGCTGGGTACACATCCACATCTGTGTGAAGTGAGCAAAATTCACATAAAGCGCCTTTCCCAAGGACACAACGCCAGACAGGTGGATGGAACCCCTAAGCCGGCAACCTCACGACAACGAGTCCAGTAGCCTAGCCACAAGACTACCAACATCACTGGTAACAATTAATCAAATTGTAATGTTGGCTTCATTAGGAAGCAGGAAAGACAACTGCAGCCACTGGACTCTATTGGGAAGAGGTGTCTTGGACAATTAGCACAACCCACAGGTGTAAATCTGTTCTAAGCCGGCTAACAAGTCTTTATAATACAACAACAGAAACAAAAGCGTCAACAACAACAACAACAGCAACAGCAACAACACCAACAACAACAACAACAACATAATTCCGGTAAACGGATAAAACGAGAAACTAGAGAGATTGTGAAAACAAATTAAGACAGTTAACTGGCTATGGTCGGAAAATTAATCCCGTTTCCTGTTGCAGATTCAACGCACGCAGCTATTAGAGTGATGTCGTATCTCTTTTTGAACCTGTTCAACTGTCCTGTGATGCATGGGAAGTCAAGTCCAAGTTCCTTTGCCATTTAGTCTACCTTGGTTTTTAGAATGTGACCAAAGAAAGGAAGAGACATGGAACGTATTTTTGTTTTAGTAGAGATTTCACGGCGCCAAGGGGTGGATGTCAACAGAGAAGTCTTTACAGGGAATCAAGCTTACTCTGCTCACCTCTCTAGCTTCAACAGCACAAAGTCTGCTTCGACTATCAAGGCACCCCGGAAATAGCGGGTCACAAAGGTGCGACAAACATACAAAAGAAGTAGAGGAAAAATGACGATAGGAAGGATTAGGAAAGAAAAAGCAGCAGTTCCCTGTTGCAGTTCAGGCACAGTTGTGAGCATGACATTGATGAATCAGTCCATTTACAATTACAATTCCACTGTGCATAAGAAAAAGTAAATGCCCCCCCCCCCCTTTCGGAATGGCCTAAAGGCACGTCAGTCAGTAGCACCGCCCCGGGGGTAGGAACGTGTTCGCTGGAACCATTGAAATAATAATCAGCTTGATGTTTGGAAGTAATTTGGCAAAGAGCGCTCACTTTCCGTTGGGCCAACTTCCAATGCTGGATTTTTCGATTATATTCTTTTCTGTGTAATGTTTTAGTTGAAACCTGGAAAGTGTTGTTACATTGGGGATATTAAAATATCTTACAAGTTTCTGTCTTAGAACAGAACGTCTTGTCAAACCCTGCTAAAATTTGACGCTATGTTTCTATTGTCTGACAATTAAGTTTCCTCTTTTTGTATACACAACAAAGAAGGAGGAGATATAAGGACGATAGATGTTTGATAGAAAAGAAGGAGCAAACCACACCAGCCAACCACGCATTTTCGTGATCTCTGTGTATGTGTTTTGCCTTCACACGTTTGTGACATGACTACCGCCTAGGTGGCCTTTGGGCGACTCTGATTATCCTCCTCATGGCACTATTTTTGACGTCATCACCCCGCCCTCTCCCACCCACCCCCACCTCCCCCCACCCCAATCTCCCACGCCCCCTGATCACCGTTGCAATATTGTACAAGGTATAATTATTATACCCCCCCCCCCCCCTCCCTCCGAAACATTTATTTTAATTAATTATTTTTTGTCTTTGCTTTTTGTCTTTTGTTTTTGGTTTTGTTCTGTTTCCAATATTTCTTAATTAACCTAAATGTTTCCTTCTCTCCCAGTTTAAAATATTCTGGCCACGCTTTTGGGTTGCGAATCTTTGGGGTGATCTACCCCCCCCCCCCCCCCCTCTTTTTTTCCTTCCACTGATCAACGTTGCAGTTTTATACAAGATAGACATAATAATATGATTATGCTTATTTCGTGCAATGCACTTGCCCAACGCCGACTTTTTGGGGTTTGTTCTTTTACTGTACTTTATTTTTTAAAAACCTTTTTCGTCCCTACCTGTTCTCTCCAATGCTCTGAATGCTGGCCCATTACAAAAGACGGCGAAAATAAAATAGAAGCAACAGAAATGTGGTTTCTAAGGAGACTGCTGTGAGGTTCTTGGAAGGAAAAGAAATCAAATGAGGTAGTACTTGAAGAAGCCAATGTGGGCTACTGACTGATAAAACCAATTAGGAAAAGACAATTTAATGCTGTTTCTGTGACACTTGGATAGACTTGAAGGCCTTGAACGTCTAGCTCTCGCTGGCAAAATTGAAGATAAATGAGGTCAGATGAGTGACGGGGAAGAATCAGGATAATGTAAGTATTTTGAGAGCATCAGAGGAAAGGAACGATCGGAGAATCATTTATTGCCGGTGTCTGTCGCAGATTTGGCTCGTGCTGATGGCCCATTTCTATCAGATGATGCTTTTGTGTGTAGTAAGTAATTAATTAAAACAAAACGTGCAAACATTATTCTTACAGTGTCCAAATCAGAGAATTAACAGCGTCAACAGTAGAAACAATTATAAAGAACCATGAGTGTGTTGGCGTTTGTTTTCTATTGTTGACGGATGTGTTTACATCATTGTCGTCATCACCCTTATTGTTGTTGTTGTTGCTGTTGTTTTTGTTGTTGTTGTTGTTGCTGTTGTTTTTGTTGTTGTTGTTGTTGCTGTTGTTTTTGTTGTTTTTGTTGTTGCTGTTGTTTTGTTGTTATTATTGTTGCTGCTGTTTTTGTTGTTGTTGTTGTTGTTGCTGCTGCTGTTGTTGTTGTTGTTGTTGTTGTTGTTGTGTTGTTGTTGTTGTTGCCGCTGCTGCTGTTGTTGTTGCTGTTGATATTGTTATTGCTGTGCTGCTGCTGCTGCTGCTGTTGTTGTTGTTGTTGTTGTTGCTGTTGTTGTTGTTGTTGTTGTTGCTGTTTTTGTCGCTGCTGTTGATGGTGGTGTTTTTGTTTTGTTTTGGTTTTGGGTTTTTTTTATCAAGGAGGGAAGTTGTAGGACTAGAGAATCCCCACTTACCTGAGACCTTGACCTTGACCATCAGTAATTTATTTAAAGAGGCAAAAGCCATCCATGTCCTGGTGCTGTTTTAGCCTCTCTTTCCTGTCTGTGAATAAGTATCCTTTTGTCCAATTTGGTCCCACTTCCATGCACCCTGTATCTTACATGAGACCCTGGCCTTGACCATCAATAAATCTTTCCTGAGACATTGGCTTTGACCATCAATAAATCTTTCCTGAGACCTTGGCTTTGACCATCAATAAATCTTTCCTGAGATCTTGGCTTTGACCATCAATAAATCTTACCTCAGACCCTGGTCTTGACCACCAATAAATCTTACCTGAGACCCTGACCTTGACCATCAATAAATCTTACCTGAGACCTTGATTTTGACCACAAATAAATCTTACCTGAGACCCTGGCCTTGAGAGGCGAGTAGAGAACCAGCAGGGACGTGGAGGTGACCACAAAAGCGGCTGCGGCTATCGTCACAATCCTGTCCAGCCGGCTTTCCTGGACGTAAGGAGCGAGGTCAAGGGTCACACAGGTGATGGCGTGCGCCAGACAGATGACCACCAGCACAGGGAGCGCGCCCAGCCTCTGTCGTCTTAAGTAAGCTTTGTACACCTGGGGCGATATATATAGCAATGGGCATTTGGTCATTTAATTTTTAACCGATGTAGACGTCTAAGTGTTTTATGCCACTAGTGCAACTCTTTCCCCTGAAAAATTGACACAATAGACCGTTTGTAAGTTGCTTTTTTTTCGTTTTGTTTTAGTTTAGTCTAGAGTAAAGGCACTATTTGAGGTCCGCCGAATTATGCGGCCACTTTCCTAGCAGCCACTTTCTTTATAAAGTAAATAATCCATGTCTTGTTTCATTTTCCAAACGGAAACCAAGCTTCCGTGATGCACTGGCATGAATCCCATGTTCACAACAAAGATAGATGGTCTTGATAGGCAACAAAGTTTAAGAGTGGCAGTGGAGTGAAGAATTTGGTCGATCAAAATATCCCCAAGTGAACATTTGACTGGTCACTTGTCCATTGTCATTACAAAGCTTTGTTATCATATGTTTTATTCGATTATAGGTTCATGTGTTGAAGTAATGAATAAATATAATGTGTAAATGTCTTAACATAAAAAAACAACCAATATGAATCAGGGAGGGGCTGGCCGCATAGATATTCCCTTATCAATTTTTTAAAAAGGGACTTCTTGCGATCGGCGACGCCCACAAAAAGGTCCACTCCATTGGAGATGGGGCATTGTTGTGATCAGTTGCTACATACATGGATCCGGAAAGCCTGGTTTATAGCTGTTGACTTCAATGCGATCGATCAATCAAGACTGACTCCATCAGATTCGGTGCAGTCTGAAGAAACTGCCCTGTCACTTGCACCTCTTGACAGGGTGGCCGCCAGGCCCTGGGATTTTGAAAAAAAAATCCCCGAGATCCGGGAATGCACCGGGAATTTGAGGAAATCTGGAAATTGCCCAGGGAAAATACATAAAGTTCTCGAATATTTGAAAACCAAATCCGATAGGGTCAGTAAGTTCATTTTTGCCGGTTGCGATTGAGATATTCGTTCGGGTTTTTCCGGTCTGATAACGTACCACTTGTGACATGCGACTGTAGCGAGAGAAGTTACTCACCCAAACTAAAATAATTCAGGCGGTGTCAACAACTAAAACAGCAGCTGATATCTCATGCGTGAGATATTACTTTTTATACTTCAGGTGTGGGATGCGTGGATCTTTTTCACCGGAATTGCAATACAAAAACAACTCCAAGTATGGTAAAAAGATAGTTTATGTGCTTCAATATTCCTTTCCTTTAACATCGATTGAGTAAATAATGCACAGTATTACTATCATCAGGAAACATTGGTATCACAGCGCGGTGAAATCAGGCGCTCGTCATTTTGGGGGGTATTTGGAGCTATTGGTTTAATCTTAAAGGTTGTTCATTTGCCTTGCATTTGATGAGAAAATTATCCATTTATCTTGAATAGAAGTCGAGATATTTGAGGTGGAAGGAGGTGGAGTCACCTTATTTCATTTTCAGAAGCAAAATTAGCGATAAATGGCGGTCAAAGTTTGGCGATTTCCATAGCTCAAGAGTCCTTGGAAACTGCAAATTTATATGTTTCATGTCTTTAATCAACGGGGTTTTTTTTTCATACAATCCACACTTGAGAATGTTATTGAATGGGCATACAAGGCGTTGAGCCAAAAAACAAAAATTCGAAAAGAAATTTCAAACTGGCCGAAAAATACCGATTTCTTAGATTTCATTATTTGACACGAGCGTCTGATTAAACCACGAAGCCTCACTTATAGTTTACTCATTCCTGGTGTAAAAACATCCATCTTGCCATCAAATCATCGCATTCTTTGATCTTCTGCCTCCGGCATTTGATCATCCTTGCTACACATTTTTGGTTTTGGACAACATGTATTTGCTGTATTTATAATTTAGATTCCTCTCTATCATTCTTCCGTTTTCCTTTGGCTTCATTACATGTTTTAAAAATTGCCTATCAAAAGCTCTGTATCCTTTTGTTCGTCTTCTTACTTTGATGACTTCTCTTTTCTGTTAGTTCTGAGTTAATGTCCTGCGTCATCCATTTTTATTTTCTTATTTAGATATTGTGAGGGGGTAAGGGATATTTATGATTGATGTGTGTTCTCTCTGCCTCTCTGTTTCTCTCTCTCTCTCTCTCTCTCTCTCTCTCTCTCTCTCTCTATCTATCTATCTATCTATCTTTCATATTTTCTCTCTCTTTTATCTCTCATAATATCAATCCCTCTCTCTTTTTTAGGTTTCTCCTTTTTCCACTGTATTCTACGCATTAGAGAGTGAAACAGAAAAAAAGAAGAAACAAACGACAAATAGACGAAAGTCAATAAATTCATGGACGATGTTCAAGCACTTTAGATTTGTGGGAAGGCGGTTGTTTAAATGTAGGTGTTTTACATACCCTTTGATAAACTTCGCAACTTTATTAGGTTGCCTGCAACACTACCTGTCAGTCAACTCAGGCTGAGAGGGAGACAATAATATACTTGCAGAAAAACCAAGACACTAGATTTTTTAAAGTCTCTCCCACTCGGGAATCAAGCTGGGGTCTTCCGCGTGCGACGGCGAAGGGCCTTAATAATCGCTATACCACACACACCGATAACATACTAGACTACAAAAGTTAATTTTCCAAAGATTTCTGGTTCGGGGCTCAAACATCAATATGTACATGTATTTGGGGGCGCTAAACACGAAATTGACAGTGGACTGTGATGTTTAGGTCTAGTATTTCAAGATATGCAGGTTTTCATACTTAACAATTATTTTTTTTTAATAGGAAAAAGGGGATCGCCTCATACTTATTCGACTCGTTGTTTCTTGATTTACCTCTTGTATTCAAAGCCTGTTACACTCTTGATTTGCTAACATATTGTTATCATTCCGTTTGCCCTGGTGTCACTTTCCATAGCTGCAATATCTCCTGTTCATCACCCACCCCACAACATTTATTTAATCGTTCAAATCGTATGCGTGGAAAGGAACATGAGAGAGATGATGCTCACTTGGAACGAGTTTGGAAGGATGGCCCAGGACAGAGATAAATGGAAGGAGCTTGTATGTGGTCTATACCCTGTCAGGGGTGAAAGGCATTGATGATGATGATGAGAAGATGACACATCTTATACGTGCAACCATGTTGTCCTTTGTTGAAAAAAAAAAGCTGAAAATCATTTTCCCGATTTTTGAATGTGCTGATTTGATTGGGTAGATGTTTTACGGCATTATCGACACAATTTTGGTCATTTAAGCGCCAACAGGTTTCACCGCTACAAAATCAGACCTGTTTTTAGTAAGAGTCTTTCGGAGCTCGCAACCGCACACGATCACACTATTTTCATTATGCTAAAAAGACGAACAAACATTTATTTTTTTTAAAAATTATATATGGAAAAGGCTTATTTACATTTGTATATACAATATTAATTTCAGTGTATGTATATATACACCGAGAACGATAACTATTTATTTTCATGTTCTATTAAATAGTCCAACTTCTTTTATATAACTTAAAATTTGTCTAGGGTCTACGATGTCAAAAAGGGTCTAAATATCTTTACATTTAAAATATTTCTTACGAACATAATTAAATTCGACACATTCCGTTAGGATGTGCCGAACTGTGAAATTTGTGTGGCACGCCACGCAAAAAGGAGCTTCCTCTCCTTCAAGCAAATGTTTGTACGTGACGTGCGTGTGTCCTATCTTTAGTCTGGTAAAAATTACTTTTTCTCTTCGTAGGAGAGATAGTGGTTTCCTGGGCGTAAGTTTCGGTTGAATGTAATGGAGTTTGTTGTGTATTTGTTGATTCCAAATTTGGGACCAGGAGGATGTGATGTGTTCTTTTACTTTCGGTTTCATGTCAGAGAAAGGGATTTTACTATTTTTATTTTCAGGCAGTTTTAGAGATTCTTTGGCAAATTGGTCAACGGCTTCGTTGCCATCAATGCCAACATGGCTTGGAAGCCAAGCTATTGTAATAGTTTTCCAGACTGATGTAGAAAATGCAGTTGAATTATAAGTTTTAAAATTCTGTTGTCGGAGGTGTCAGAGCACTCTAAAGATTTCAGACAAGAGAGAGAGTCTGAGAGGATTAGTCAAGTAGACTTGGTTGATTGATCTATAATATTTAGGGCCATTTCAAGAGCTGTAGCCTCAGCAGTGTAGACTGACGTTTCTGGGTGGACTTTCCTTAAGCTTAAGCTGTGTGGCGATGCAAGGGCAGCAGGTCCTACTGAGGAGTCATTTTTGGATCCGTCTGTAAAGAGATTCTCTGCTTCAGGGTATCTATTTATTAACTGTTTGTATGAGTTTAAGTATATAGTTTGTCTGTAGACTTTTTGTTGTGTTTTTCAAGACTAGTATCTATGTTTGGTTTGGTTAAATGCCATGGAGGTATGCTGAACATGGCAAAGGGCTATATTATGTCTTCAGAAAAATCAATGTCTTTGAGATCGTTTGGATTCTTATTCCGAAAGGGCTTACTTTATTTCCTAAGGAGGATAGAGTTTTTAGATCTTCGGGAAGGCCAAAGACACATTTGTGGGCTGGGTTTTGGGGTACTGAGCTAAGTTTCAAAGCGTACTGCAAAGAGAGTTTTTTTCCTTATAAGTTCTAAAGATGGTTCATGCGCTTCTGCCTGTAAACTTTCTACAGGTGAAGTACGGAAAGTGTCTAGGGTAAGGTGCTCCCTCTTGGACCGTCAGCAAACAAAATTCCGCTGCCGAAGCCTTAAACCCAATAAATTAGCTTTGCGTGAAGGCAACCCAAGGTCTCTGAGAAGGTCGTTCAGTCCACTTTGCTTGATTATAATATTATAGAGTATTCTTGCCAGAAAATTCAGATGAAAATCAGGTTCTAATTGCTGAAGCTTCATTGTATTCCTCACGGGTATCCTCTCCCATCTTTTAAAATTTAGTAACTGTCTCTGTCCCGACAAGAATGAGTAAATCTTGGCTTTGTGGTACTTGGCGTCAAGAGATGGAATATCATTATAACCAACTGTGCTCTTCCTATTTCCTCAAGTCTATGTCTGTCCGGTTGCACAATATAGAAATAGCAGTTATCTCAATGATTACTTGGTTCAGGATAAACCACTGGCACTGCATAGGTCAGTGATTTTTTTTCTTTGCAACTACTAGCAAAAGTATGTGGCACAGGTATTGCAGCCTACGTGAAGAGAACAACTTCTATCTCGGTCACCAACTTCGAGTTTGAAATAAGGTGATAGGCCTTCTAAAGTTTGATATTGTTCTCCTTTGAGCATTATACTAATATGTCCTGCCTTGTTGTGCGTATGCGTGAGTGCACCTAAGCTTTGTAACATCTACTGCCATTGTAAACGACCAAAACAAATTTATCTCTGCGAGATGAATACAAATTGTCATTGTCAAAGTAAGTTATTTCGCCGCAAATGCAGCAAAATGTTTAGGATCGGTTACACAATGGTGAGGCACTCTGACTATTGACTTAGAATAAAATTAGCTGTTTCTAGTTTTGAAAAACTCTGTTTGCTGAGTGAAAACTAAATGGCCACAAAAAAGTCATAGCACAAAATGTTGTATTACACTATTTAGAAACTGATGCCACAGTCCTACAATTGCATCTTATACTTTAAAAAAATGACAGATCTCCAATGCCCTTTGGTTCGTTTTTTTTTTTTTACTGTAATATCTGAAAATGGAAAACGACTTCAAGCTAGATCTTAAAAGAACTGTGCCTAAGCATAAAAAATTCATCAACTCCAAATTAGTAGAATGAAGCTGGTTTTAATAAACAGGAAACAAATTCCTTGTCGACTAGTTATGCGCAAACGTACTCCTTGAAAATGTTTCCAGAAATCATTTCCTGTCCACAAATACAGCAGACTGGAAGATTAATGGCTAGTCTAGTAAGCCAACCAGAAAGGTGTCATCGTCCTGGAAGTCAAAGGATTCTGTGTGAGATAGCAGAAGTACGCCAGCACCAGAAGCCACTCACTCTTCGTAACGTTCTCAGTTTCACCAGTCAGGGGTTTCTTAATTGATATTATTGACTGGCAGACCACTGTCATCTCTTCTTCCAAGTTTTCTTATATCGTTTCACGCATTCCTTTGCGGTAATTAGGTTTTGTTTGTGCATAATTTGTTTGTTTGTTGGTTGGTTCATTTGTTTCGCTTGTTTTTAAAGAGGTGTAATACGGTGAATTCATGTAATTGTAACGTAATGTAGACGGTTTATGCCTCACCATCGCAACCTAGATCATTTGAGGCGAGCTTCAACCGTGCATATCAGGGCCAACCCCGGACTGAGAGGGCTACAACTTCCAAGCACAGTGAACGACATGCACACTCGATAAAAATTCTCCCGCATGGGAATCGAGCTTGGATCTTTTGTGTACAACATCGGAGTGCCTCACCACTCAACCCCGAGGCCAGTGTAAACTTTTATGAATCATCAAAGGTTAAGAACAAGAAACCATTTGTTGCTATAGATTTGTGTCCTAATATCCTTAACCGTGCACTCTGATGCAATTCCTGTTCACAACAGAGCGTACCAATTCACTTAACCTGGAGCCAAAATGAAGGACAATGCTGAAACGTGCCGTGCGCACTCGACTCTAGTGAAACAGATGTTTTAGCCTTTCATTTTGGTGCTCATTGTGTGCACGCTTCGCAGCGATACATAGAGAGAACAGACAGCGGCATCCAAGACAGTGCACGATCTAGGATATTATCTCAAGTCTATGGAACGACCACAGGTTCAAACGCTCACAGTTAAGTCACTTAAATCTGAAACGTAACAGAGCCTGATAAACAAAAAGATAAAAGAACTTTGCTGGATTCAGTATGTCTTGCCAGCTGTTCAGATGTAAAAATATCACAACTTGCATTTTAAAAATCTTTGGTATATGTCCAATGTACTTAGAATGTCGCTATCTCAGGATTACAAAATTCTGTCTGACATTTTTGGCCGTTTTCGAGTTACTAAGACCATGAGGTCAGAAAACAAATGTGAGGCAGCGTGGTGGAATCAGGCTCTCGCCAAAATAATATCAAAGTGAAGAAACTTGCTTTTTTCTGTTGGTTTCTGAATTATTATCAAATTTTTGTTTTTTGGCTCAACACCTTTCATGCCCATTAAAGAATTCATTTCAGTGTGGATTTTTCTGGAAAAACGTTGATTAAAGGCACAAAAAAGTAAATTTTCAGTTACCATGGAGTCTTAAGCTAAGGAAATAACTAATCTTTGGTTGACATTTTCTCGCTAATTTTACCTCTGAAAACAGGTGACCCCCCTCCTCCTTCATTCGCAAATATCTCGACTTGTATTCAAGATCAATGGATATTTTTTTCATCCAAATAAACACAAGTGAACAAGCTTTACGATGAGACCAAAACCCCTACATGCCCAAAAATTGACGACAGCCTGATTCCACCACGCTGCCTCACAAATGTTCTATGTGCTCTTTCAAAATGGTAAGACTGTTTGTAATTGATACCAATATATTCCAAGAATTGCATTCGAAAAAGCTTAACCATGTTGGGAAACTGACAACTGTTCACCTCAAAACTCTAAAATCTAGTAGGTAATGAGCAGAAAGAATTTGTTAAATCTAGGGTACGCGATATGAGGTCGTTTGGATGTGATTAAGATTTACTGTTTTGTTGGGGGCTTTTTCTCACCTTTGAAGTTTTAAATGTTGAAAAAAAAAGCCACGCAAAAAGAGACAGGATATGAGTACACGAGTTACAAGAACTAAACATACATTTGTTTTTTATCTGCTAAAAATATATATATTCTGGACTTAATAAATTTAAACAGATTGCGACGATATACTGCCAATTTGTCTACCGTGCTGGTCAGGGCAACTTCGGGAACATTTGTTGTTCTAGAAAACAAACTTGGAAGCAATGCCCAAGATCGCTTTCAGATTATATTATATTAGGCTCCAACAAGTGTACAGTGAGGCATGTAAGCATTTCGTAACCCATTGTCTAATAAGATTTTAGGGAAATTAACAGAAAACATTATTACAGTTTTGTTTCGTTTTGGGTTTGAGAAAAGGTGGGAATCAAAATCAACTCATTCTCTCTCTCTCTCTCTCTCATTCTCTCTCTCTCTCTCTCTCTCTCTCTCATTCTCTCTCTCTCTCTCTCTCTCTCTCTCTCTCTCTCTCTCTCTCTCTCTCTCTCTCTCTCTCTCTCTCTCTCTCTCTCCTGTCTCTCAATAAATGAATGAAATAAAATAAAACAAAATAAAATAAAATAAATTAAAAAATAAATAATATAATATAAAATACGTTGCATTCTCAAAAAATATATAAGATAACTGAAAAAGCATGTGATGTCGTGACTTTTTTTTATAATAGAGGATTTTTGATTGACTTTTTAAAATTTTAAAATTGCTCATTTTCCTACAATGGCCGCCATTACCATGGCAACCGCTAGATTCATCCACAAAATAGATGATTGCAAATAGCTTTTTTGAGAAAAAAAAATTAGTCCTTTACTTCCCCAACTCGAAGTCGGGTACCCATTACAGGTGGGTGGGCAGGAAGGGGAGAAAAAAAATCCGTGGCCGAACCTAGGCTCGAACCTGGACTTTCTGTTTTGGAGACAAGCTCACTAACCACTCCGCCACCACGCCACTGTAAGCTACAGGCTTTAAAAATACTGCAATAGTGCTTTGCGGTCGTGTTGCCACCGTGAACGACAACAAAGTGGGAATCCTTCAATAGCTGTTACTAGATCTATAAATATTGGCCAATGGCGTACATCTGTCGTTCTCAAGTTATTCGCACGTTAACCGAGATATTGGCCAAAATATTTGTGGTGGTAAATTCTGGTCGATTTGGAGTTATACATATCAGGGAATTCAAGCATTTTAGAAAATAATTCAAGAGCTGTTTGTAAAATCTTTGCTCACCTTGTAGATCTAGATCTAGAAGCAGATACTTTTGATGAAGCTGGATAATGAAGGTAAGGGGGGGCTCTTCTGGATGATGATGTTTCTGTTCTTCTCAAGATCTATATCCACAAAACGCCCGAATGGCCATTGCTCTACTACCACCCGACCGACTCGGTCCCTTGTTGATCACACCAGTGAGTGAACGTATCAGTCAATTTTCTCGTGAATTTGTTCAGGTCCGTGCTGGGTCAGATTTTCGCCAGTAGCCTACAGACTTGCCGGTGTTAACTTATTCTTTTCCACCACACTGTTTTTTTTATATTTTCTTTAATTTAAAAAACAACAACAACAAAAGAAACAACCACAACCACTTTAAAATATCTTTTCACAATGTATTTTCCATTTGCATTAAGATATTAAAAAGTAATAGTGTAAGTTTGAACGACAGAGAGAGATAGAGAGAGAGAAAGAGATAGAGAGAGAGCGAGAGAGAGTTAGAGAGAGAGAGAGAGAGAGAGAGAAAGAGAGAGAGAGAGGGGGGGGGGGGGGGGGAATTTAGGTTTTTTTATCTGTTCTTGATTTTCCACATTTCGTTACTTTAAAATGCAATATCTGACTTTCTAGACAATGTAATTAAAACATTTTAAGTGCATAATAATCAGCAAAACCCCAGCTTTTAGAAAAGTACAAAAACCTCAAAATGGCCCAGAGGCGACATATTCCTGATTTCCTCAGACCGGCTCACTGTTTGCTCAGGTCGTTGTCTTGAAACGGTGGAGAGAGAGTGGCGTCGGTAGCCCAGTGGTTAGGCTACCGGACTCGTAATCGGGAGATTGCGGGTTCGGGGGTTCGAGCCTCAGCTCGGTCCAACGTTGTGTCCTTTGGAAAGGCACTTTACACGAACTTCCCACTTGGCTCGGTCCTATCGGAGACGGACGTTAAACTAGGAGTTCCCCCACTTAAATAACCTAACAGTGTTGATAGGGGCGTTAAACCCATACCATTTCACCATTTTCTTTTTGGAAACAGTCGTGGTTGAAGCAGGTTCGACTGTAATGTGAGAGATAAAGAGGAAAAAATAAATGTTCTTGACTCACCCTCTCCTCATCCTGGTCAAAATTGATAAACAGCGACTGCGGGTGCTGGGAACTGATCCGAGGAGCGACAAGGACAGGTATTTTGCCCAAGCTGTGAACACTATGGGACAAGGCGAGGGTGGAGTTGTTCCCCTTGTTCTCAGCGTCATAATCGTTGTCCTTTACGTGGTTTCCGTGAACAGAGTTACCACCCTTGCCAGAGTGGGCGTTGTCCGGATGTGAGCCACCATTAACGACCGTGACCTTATCTGTGAGCGCTGTCTCTGGGAGTTGGTAGACTTCGGTCAAGGACGTTTCTTCCATGACTAGAATCAAAAGGTTCTCAGCATAACAGAGACGTACGGTTGGAACGCTGTGGTTGATCAATGTCTATTCACGCACGAATCTTCCATAACTGCATCCTTCTATTTTTTTCGGGGGTCACGTAATCGCAAACTCTTCTCCATAGTTGAAGCCAGAAACACAACCTTTCTTTTTCACCATGTTTAAAACTGCATAGTGGATAATCCTTAACAGCCAATGCTTTCAAGGAATGTCAGAAAATCAGGTTATTTCCGGAGAAGTGTGATTTATTGAGACAGAATGCTTGTGTATGATCTAGTTTTATTCTTTTTAATGTTGCTTTCAACTGAAAGGTCATCTTTTTGTTTTAAACCAATGTGCGCAAACTTGCTTTGTGCAGAATACACTACTTGTACAGTACGTAACACGACAAATTCCTTCGTTATTTCTGTTGTTCTTTCCTGTATATTAAACAATTTTCTAAATCAATCTGTTCTGTCCTTTGCTCATATTAAAAAAACTTCAAATTTGTTCTAGTTAAAGCGCTCCGAGTTTATACTCGTATGGAATAGAGTACTACATAAATGCAATTTTTATTGTTATTATCATTATTATTATTATTATTATTATTATTAATAATAATCACATTTCTGTAACTGTTGCTTATGTACTTTTGAAATTGGGATCTGTCATTTTCATTTACCGCAGCACGAACAATGCCATGTTCTGCGGAGCTTGAAGACAAACAGCTTAGAGACTCACAGCTTGAAGACTAACAGCTTAGAGACTCACAGCTTGAAGACTAACAGCTAAGAGACTCACAGCTTGAAGACTAACAGCTTGAAGACTAAAAGCTTGAAGACTAACAACTTGGAGACTCACAACTTTAAGACTCACAGCTTGAAGACTAACAGTCTGGCGACTCACAGCTTGAAGACTCACGTGCAGATTCTGAACAACGTCACCTTTGTCAACGAACGGACCATGCACCTGCAAAGCCAGAGAGCAACATTAGTTTTAACATTTAATAAGGAAGAAACAGAGAGAATATTATATAATAAGGTTTCAATTATTCTTGTGGTAAGGTTTGGTTTTCAATGTCTTGTAAAATAATACATATCCTTTATCTGTTTAATTATAGTACGAGTTTTACGGCACTTGCAACAAATTAAGGTCATATAAGTGCCGAAGATTACAGGTACATGAGAGAGTTTTTAATATTACCCTTTTAAAAATGAGGAGAGATCAGGACGACAGATATTTGATAGGAAAACATGAGCAAACCACACCAAAGCACCCGCCAACCAACTGCCCGTCTCCTTTTCTGTTTGTTTTAGTAGAGGTTTTACGGCGCTTACAACTGCATAAGGTCATATGGGCGCCAAGGGGTGGAATTCAACTGAGAAGACCTTACAGAGAATCGGGCTTACTCTGCTCACCTCTCAAGCTTCAACAGCACAAGATCTGCTTCGACTACCAAGGCACCCCGGAAATAGCGGGTCACAAGAGCGTGACAAACGTACAAAAGAAGTAGATAATAAAATATGACGATAGTTAGGATTAGGAAAGAAAAGGCAGCAGTTCCCTGTTGCAGTTCAGGCACAGTTATGAGCATGATATTGATGAATCAGCCCATTTACAATTCTACTGTGTATAAGAACGAGAAATATACCCCCTTTGGGAACGGCCTAAAGACACTTCAGTCAGTGGCACCGCCCCAGGGGGACGTCTCCTTTTTCTAGTGCCAGATATGATAAAACAAATATCGACGATTACGATTCGCCAGTCTGTTGTCTGATCGAATTCTCTAAAAAGAACAACAGCACCCCCCCCTCTCCCCGCCCCCTAATATTACCCTTGTGTACCCTTGCCACCTATCTTAATAAATACATACGTACGTTTACAATATTTCTTCAACATCATACAATATGTTACTCTTGTCAGTTTCGTTTTAGCAAGTGTTTTACGGCACTTGCAACACAATAAGGTCATATAAGTGCAGAAGATTAGAGGTGTTACAAGAGAATAACAAACTTTAGAAAGTAGGAGAAGAGATAAGGACGATAGATGTTTGATAGGAAAGAAGAAGCAAACCACACTAGAGCACCCGCCAACCACCCACTTACTCTTGTCAGCATAAGCAAATGAACAGGATGTTAAAATAGAGAACGCTAAATGTCTTTTTAAAAACCGTTTGGCGATTTACCAAATTTAGCTAACTCTTATTTTGCACACGGTAATCAAAGAGAAGCAGGCTAAGTAACGTGGACTTGTACAAAACATTGCTTGTGTGATAAATAAAACGTTCACTCCCAAACGCCAAACATCAATGTTGGAGGATCTAAAAACGAGGTGCTACACGTGAACTTTACTCCTTTTGTAGGACTCGTGAATTTGAAGAAAGAAAAAATTTGATAATGCTCCATCACTTTTTTACCTCTAGCGCTTATACAACCCTTTCACTGCCATGGGCGATGAATAATGCATTCAAATAGCTCTCAACAGTGTTGGTCCCGGCAGTTATGAGGTTTTAAATGATTTGGGGTGGGGAAAGGGGGGGGGGGTTCAGCGGATATCCTCCAGATGCTATCTATTTTTTGCACATTTACTCACCGTCTTAAAATAAGACTTTTGCGTCACGCGCTCACGTACGTTTCGTTATACTCGTACGACACCTGTCAGTGACGCACTGAAGACGTGTTTTTTCATCAGCTATTCTATTTGGCTTGAAATGGTTGTTATTAATTTTCTTTTAAAAAGAAAAATTAGTCAAATGTGGAATAAGTTCAATATCCAGTGAAGACAGTAATTATCCATTTCTTGTCTTTGTCTCACGAATTTATTCTTGTTAGGTAGCCGGTAAGAGAAACACCACCAGGAAAGCGCGTGGAGTAGAAATAAATGTCACAGTCGGTCTATACAATGGGTCTATACAACACTGTTACGAAAATGTAGGCAACAGGACATGACCATCATAATAAAAAGGAGAAGATGGATATGGATTGGGCATGTTCTGAGAAGAGAACCAGACTCTATTGTGAAGACTGCCCTCCACTGGACACCCGAAGGAAATCTCAAGAGGGGCAGACCCAAAGTGACCTGGAGACGCACAGTAGAGTCTGAAATGAAGTCCTGGAATCATTCATGGGGGACGTTGACCAAGATAGCACAAAACAGACAGAGCAGAAGATCCTTTGTTGCTGCCCTAAACGCCAGATGGCGTAATGGGTAGTAAATAAAGCAAGTATACAACAAAACTGTTTGTAACAGGTAATTACTGGATGGAAGAAATAAAACCTGTAGATTGGAACACCTTTTGGAATAAGAATCTAAATTAACTTTGTGCTAACGTACAGTAAAATCTGGAGCTCGTAATTTTTTCTTACATTGGGGAAGAGGGGGGGAGCATATATGAGGAGTCCACTGAAAAAATGGGCATAGTCACAAACTGAAACGTGAGGGTATATTTTGAACACTTGTTGACTCATAACTGTATTTCTGTTCAGCTGTCGGTTGATTATTGTTGTTAGATTTCATAAAATAAACCGCCAATAAAACAAATATGAAGTTATGAGTCCACAAGCTTTTAAAATTGACACCCTCACAATTTCCAGTTTGTGACTATGCCCTTTTTTCAGTGGACTCCTCATGGAGTTATTTGTATCATCTTAAAGCTTGTTCATTTGTCTTGCTTTCGGTGAAATATACGAGTAGCTATACGTCTTAAATAAACAAACGTCGAGATACCTGTGAATGAAGGAGATGGGGGATCGCCTCCTGTCAGGAGCAAAATTAGTGAGAAAATGGTGACTTCCAAAGCTTGAGTGTCGTTGGAACCTGTAAATCTACCTTTATATGCCTTTGAAAAGCGTTTTTCAGTAAAATGCGATGTGTTTTTAAGTGGACATAAAAGTTGTTGAAACAAAAAACCCACAACTTTTTAATGTCCAACTGGCGGGAAAATCGTCGATTTCTTCGTTTTCATTCATTTGACGACAAACGCTTCATTTCACCAAGATACGACACATTTAGAAGGGTAGACGCCACGACCTTGCCTCTCAAAGCCACCGCAAAATCTTGCTGGATGGGATGGAGTATTCAGAGATAACGATAGGCATTCGAAAAAAAAGCTCCTCGTGTAGAGAGTCTAACGCACGTCTGCTGGAAGCATTGGGAAGAAGAAGAAGAAGAAGAAGAAGAAGAAGAAGAAGAAGAAGAAGAAGAAGAAAAAGAAGAAGAAGGAGAAGGAGAAGGAGGAGGAGGAGGAGGAGGAGGAGGAGGAGGAGGAGGATAACTTTTTTCTTTTTCTATATCAAGATGAAAATGGTAAGACGTAACATGACAATGCATTGACAATTTCCTTTTAGTACTAAGGCGAATTGTCCTCAGTGGAAAAGCAGGCCAAAATATGGGTTACCAGTCTTAGTTTTAGTGAGAGTTTTATGGCACTAGCAACACAATAAGATCATATAAATGCCGGTGGTTATAGGTGTACAAGAGAGTAACAAACACAAAAAGAAGGGTGTTTTGGTAGGAAAGAAGAAGCAAACCACACCAGGGCACCCACCAACCACCCACAGGCACTTGTCTACATCATGTACTACAAATGTATAACATTCTCGGAGTGGATGATTGTCGAGGCCGAGTAATTAACGAGAGCACCAAATTGTGGCGGCTGTTTCTGTTATCAGGACTGCTATTATACGGAAAGTATCGTTGTGTGTTTGTTCATTCACGTCTTTTGTGTTTATCGTGAGCAAACACGACACTGTTTTGAGGATGCCCAGACCCGTTGATGAACAAACAGATAGCTGAAATAGGTTACTCAACACAAATTAGTACGTAAGTAGGTAAGTTTATTCAGTGTTTAACCCTATCCATACACCTTGGTGTCATTTTGCACCCCTGGGGTTGTATTCTTCCCATTTTAGAATACTTCTAGTACGAAGATCTCTTTGAAACTCGGTATTTCTCAAACAATCATTTTGATAGACTGCTATGCAAAGCGTAGATTCTACGGATCTAACGAGTAAATTTCCTTTTTGGAAAGTGGTGGCACAGAGTTCCCCACATCGTATAGATACGATGATAAAACACGACGTAGGGATAGGATTAAGGCCATTGGCCTACATCACATCATATAAAACCCACATTTGTTAAATAACGTTTCCATAACGACAATTCTAAACAAGGAAGACTTTGCAAAAACTTTGACCTACCCCATCTCACCCCCCCCCCCCAAGAATTTGAGTTTGAGTAAGGGTTTAACTTCCCTTGCGACAAAAACAGGTCATAAAAGCGTCGAAGATTAGATGTGCTGCTAGAGAGTAAGGTTGTAAGATAAGAAGCAGAAACTATAAGAACGATAGATGTTTGATAGAAAAATAGGAGCACACTACCCACCGACCTCCACCC